CCTTTTTACCCACGACCCACGCCTTTTTACCCACGACCCACGCCTTTTTACCCACGACCCACGACTTTTTACCCACGACCCACGCCTTTTTACCCACGCCTTTTTACCCACGACCCACGACATTCTATCCACGACCCACGACTGATAGCCAGTCCCGCGAATTTCATGTTTGCATTAGGTTTACACGCGAGGCAAAATTGTTCCAAATGTCATACTTGCCATGGTGTTTGCAATAGGTTTGCACTATACGGCTTCGCGGCGGATACGAGATTTTCGAATGCCTTTGCGTATTTGCAAATTAGAAGTTTACACGCGTGGCAAATCTGGCAAATCTATGCAAATTTGGATTTCGCTACATGATTTGCTTTAAATTTGCAAAAGCGAAAACTCAATTTTTCGCCCCGTGATAATTATATAGTAGTATATCACGACAGATATACTATAAGATATACGTAGATATGTATATGTATTCTTAATTCTATTTAATAGTATCATGTTTAGTTACGCAAGATGTCCTAGTTAATATTTACTATATTTGTAATTTATTTTTAATATAGAGATGTCTCATGATGGCCATGGTGGTAATGCAGCCTTTAATCGGGTACAGCATGTACTATAGACATATAGCTACAGTGTATTACTAAAGGAATACCGAATGTTTTCCGTGCAGGATTGCGTGATCCATGCACGCGGGATGTTGCGAGACTTTTGGAAAGCGTAAAAATACACGAGCCGTAGGCGAGTGTATTTGTACGCTTTCCAAAAGTCTCGCAACATCCCAAGTGCATGAATCATGCTATCCTGCACGGGAAAACCATTTGGTAATTGTTTTATAAAATTACTACAGTGAAACGACGCTTAACTTGATTAAAATTACTGATGAAATGTGCAGTTCTCACAACATTCGTGAATTAACCAATCAGAGAATCGCTACTCCACGCTATTGAAAACAACAACATATGTGAACAGAATTTGATCGCAAATTCGCGAAAATATACAGCGAAAATACAGGGACTTTTTCGATAAGATATACGAAATTTGAAATGGAAAACCCGCTAAACAGAGAGCCAAAGTAATTTTGAAGATTCTCGAGCTGAATACGTGAAGATTGCGAGGCGTTTGATCAACTTTGAAGCGAGAGTTGTTGTACTTGGATGCCATGGTCTGATGAATTTCAACGCTTACGCGTTGCTACTTGCTGAATAGCAATGTATCGATCAGAAATTTATTCATACAACTAAACCAACGTCTCAATAATTGGAAACTTACTTCAAAGTCGAAAGGTATCGTACAATGAAACTTTACAATGCGAGTATATTTGTAAAATTATGTGCAAGAATTTCTGTTCAGAATTTCCCGTGCAGGATTGTCTGATCCTGCACGGCTGTTGACCAATCAAATTGTGTGTTTCACTGTGGTTATTATATAAACTAAAATTCGATTATAAAATAATGTTTTTTTGAAGGATTTCATGAGAAACAGAATTAAATTAACTATAGAAATACATGCATGCATACAGAAACCTATCGCCTTGCTGGCAAAACAATTATATTTTCCAAACATGATGAAGTAGAATTTGAAGTAGTTGTCATGGTAACATGATGATTTTATTAACTTAAGAATATTTTAAAAATTGAAAAATCCCCTAAAAATATCACCTTTATTTGCAAAATTATCAATTTTCCAATAATATATATGTTAGGCAGCTATATGTTATCATACGTCGTTATACGCAATATAAACTATCATGACAATTTAATGTAAATTAAAATCCAACCACAAACTCTTCGCAAAACGTTTCAAAATGTTCTTAAGACCAGACTACCTTTATCGATAAACTTTGAGTTTGAAAGAAAATGATTTCAATTTCTCGCATGAATTTAACTATTTGCAATTATAAAAGCAAACAATGCATCAATGTTTAAAACCAACTTATTTTCATGGGAGTTTAGGACTTCCAGCAATACATTGTCCCGACGTTTTGTTATGAACCGTTTGGCTGTCTCATTAACGATTTTTCGGGTTTTTGAATAAAATTTTTCGATCTCTTTTTGCTCCCTTCTTTTGGCAAGTCGTTCTGCTTTCCCCCCGTCTTCTTGCTGGTTTTAAATAAATAATAAAGACTTTATTTCAACTGTTAAAAGCAGCAATCCTGCTAGTATTAACGGGAGAACAGTGATTACAATTATCCATGTTACACTTATTTTATATACATGATATAAGCATGTATATTGTTACACAATACAAATATGAGACTTATTGTCAAGTTCTCAGTAAAAGATGCGTATAAATAGCATGTTTAAATTTTCCGGACTAACATATAAGCAAAGCTTCAAATATTTTTCGACCAAAATAAGCAAGGTTTGCAATTTTTTCAGCGCAAACATGACTAAAGCTTAGAAATTGTTAAATTTACGAACGATTTCATAACTTTGACCATATTTTATCTCAAACTTTGACAAAATTTTACCAACTTTGAGCTTCAATTTTAAGCAAATATTAGTTCCATTTTGACCAAATTTGACCAACGTTTTGTATTATGGGGGTGTGTTACAACCCCTCCCCCCGTAGCGACGTCCCTGGGTGAACTTGACACTTCGCTAATGCTTTCCTTTCCCCGGGTGTAAATAGCCGAGCAGAATTAGTACCCTCGCCTCGGGCTTACGCCCAGAACGGCACTCAGCGCCGTCGGGGATTAATATAATAACCATTAGTAATTAGATAACGTAATAGACAGCTAAATCGTTAGCCGACATTTAACTGTATGATTGTGCATAACCATGGTCGACGTCAAAGCCACCTCCTCCACTTCTCCTCCTACCTCCTTCACCACCCCTTCTGCTCCTCTTCTTTTTCTCCTCCTCTCTACCTCTTTCTTTTCCTCCTCTTCAGCTAGCTCCGTATCCCAAACATCCCATTGGGGTATTTTAAAACACCCGAATACCGTTGTAGTGCCCCAAACATTTGGGGTATTGGGGTGTTTTGGGGTACTGAATTGGGATGGTTGGAGGACGGGGTGTGAGGAAGAGGGGGAGAGCAACGCAGAGAAGAGCTGAGGAGCAGAGGAAAGAAAGAGGAGAAAGACAAAAGGAGAAGGAGAAGAGGATAAGGAGCAGAAGGGATCGAGGAAGAGGAGGGGAAGTGGAGGAGGGGAGAAGAAGAAGGGAAAATTCGGAGAGGAGAAGAAGAAGAGGATGAGCAGAAGAGGAGGAGCAGAAGAGGAGGAAAAGAGAAGGAGAGGAGGAGGACTATGTCGTAGTTATTATGTTCTAGTTATATTCACATAGTTTTATAGTAATAGTCAGAAATGGTCCCAAATACCCCCTTGGGGTACCCCGTACCCCCATACACCCCCGAAACATCCACAAACACCCAATTAGGGCACCCCCAAACATCCCGTTGGAATACCCCAAACACCCCATTTGGATATATGGTCATGGCATTCGTCGAATTTGTTTTTGTAATTTTGTCTCGACTAGTTTTCTGTGCAAAATAGCCGATAAAATCCTTGAAAAGGATAAACGAACACCAAAAACATTGAACATAAGTGATTTATAAAGTGCCTTTAATGCTTCTGATAAAAACTGCCAGATATATATTTGGCGAACATAATTTCAAAAATTAAAACTGAGTAACACGATGAAACCCACGATTTAACGTCTTTCATGATCATGGCAAATCCAGCAGCCCAGAAAGAAATGGAAAAAACAGCAAATTAGTCTGTGTATCACTCGAGGTTTCCCCAAGCATTTTAAACAGTTTCTCCGCAACAATAGCATCAAAATTTTGCATTCTTTTTGCTCCTTTGCTTGCTTAAAAATTCAATCCACAGTAAAAGTATGCGCGTGACGTCAGTGAGTACATGTTAGAAGGATTTCAATGTCGATCTTTTGAGTAAAATTGTTTACTATGTAATAATATCTTCTATTTATATTATAAAAGAAATAGAAAAGCTCGTCTCGTGCGTTTATGGTATGATAATGCACTCGGGGAATGTTGGAAGAATACTCAAGAAATGTGTAAAACACTCGATTACGCCTCGTTTTTTACTTCTCTCGTATTCTACCAATATTCCCAGCGAGTATTATCACACCATAAACTCACGGAACTCGTTTTCAATTTCTTACAAGAAGTCAATAAAAAAATTCTTTGATTTTGTGAATGCCTGTACCTACCTTCTTGACTGCTGCCACATTCGTTGAAACATCCCGTCTCACGTGAAAGTTCCAAATTCCTCATAGCTGTATTTAATCTCAAACAAATGAACAATGATTTGTCGGTTTCATTCGATGGTGGCTCATTTTCGTCACGAAAAACTACAACTTCTTCATCCGAATCATTTTTGTCTATTTCGCAGACACCATAAGCGAACGCTTGTTTTTTGTTTTTTGAATCTAGATAACATATTAAAGCTCCAGAGTCACCAGCATGCAAAAATTTTCTTGAATCACTTTTCACAGCGATTGCATCTCTGAACAAAAGTTCACCTTCATGATTGTAAGAAAAATTAATATTATCGATATATCCATCCGTTAGATTTGACGAATAACCGAGTTTCTGCACTCTCACAGGAACTATTCCTCGTTTGCGATTAACTCTTTTATTTAGTTCCTGCCATATTCTCGCCCAGACGGGAGAATCTATGTCTGCCACTGTGCAATCAACTTTGATATCTTTATCAACTTCTATAGACATAATGTCAGATACTTCGTCAAAGGAACCCTTGGAAAACGTACCAAGATCACTACGGTTGGCAGAGTTGACAGCGTTTTCATTTTCATCGGTATTGCCAATTTCCTTTTCGCGATAGCAATACGTAATTTTTTTCTTGGCATATTCTTTATGCCATTCAATTGATCGCGATTTGCGTATGTCCAAAACATCTTGCTGATTGAATGCTCGGTCAAACCGTTGTTTATCAGTGATAACACCCACATGAAAACAGGTAAGTGCGTAGTGTTTATCATTCTTACAGCAGAACATGGTTAATGTTCCTGATGCCCGACAGGTGCTTGATTCTTCGTCCTCAATATCATTTAATGGTTGTAAAGGATTTGGTCCATCTTCTTTAACTGCGATACCTCCCCCAGGTGTCGGCTTCAATAGAAACTTAAACTTCATGGGTTTCTCGGGTTCAGGAAGAAGTTCAAAGTAGTCACTTGGTTCACAATCAAATGCAGCTTTAATATCATTCAAAATTTCAGATTCCTTCTTCCCTTTTTCCACAGTTACATAGAAATGAGAACGTGGAAATTTTTCGTTAGGGCCAGCAATCCCATATGCGCCGTGCAACCATGGAAATCTATTTAGTACGTGCACGTACTAAGATTAATGGCCGTGCTTTAAAAGAGTTTAACTACAATTCCACCCTTTTTAATTTCATTTCCACCTAAAGACTTTTTAAAGTTATGTTTGACACAAATTCCGTACAATCAATACTATTTATAGAATGTACATGCACCTTTTAAATTTTTCATGTACTTCTTCTCTAATGCAGTATTCATCGTCAAGAAATGTTTCTTCCAGGAAAGTATCATTATCTTCTTCAGTGGAATCTTCTCCAAAATCTTCTTCCTTTTCCTCGACTATATTTGTAAAAAAGTGGACAGGTTCGTCTTCACCAATCCAAGTATAATTCTCTACAATACACCTTTTTGATAACGACATCATAAAAAGTAATTTACGCCAGAAAACTAGCTATGATAATTTTTCCTTTTGGGATTGGAGTATGTACAAGAAGACATGACAATGCGTTGAAAGGAGAGAGATGAGAGAAAGGAAAAGTGATTGTGAATAACGGGAAGAAACTATTGGGATTTGGAACACAGGATGAGGACGAGTTTCATGACCAGGAGACACGATCTGACGTTCGTCATTGTTGCGAAACCAACGGCAATTACCAATTAAATATTTTGTGAAATATTTCAAGCTCTTAAATATTACCTAACAATATACTCTTCGTTAATTGTCGTAACAATTTGATCTAATTCGTAAATTTCCATTAAAAAAACAATAACGAGATTTATTATATAAAGTATAGTGCTTTATATAAAAATCTTTATATGGTTTGCATAACAATGGTCTTTTGTTAAAGTGTTCTTTAGCTGGTATAAAGACGTATGCACGTGACAAATTTCTTACTCGAGATTGGATAATTGCTTCATGAATTATTAATGAGTTTTTGAAAGAGATTTCGAGCACTGATAAAAGTGATAATCTCACATGTGAGATTATTCATGATAATCTCACATGTGAAAATTATCGCTTTTCAAAGACTGTCCTTTATATAATAAACAGAAAATACATGAGTGCTTGGAAATATCAGATTTATTTCTCGTGTTGAACATGATATCTCACTCGTTTGCTGCACTCACTTGTGAGATATCATGTTCAACACGAGAAATAAATCTGGTATTTCCGCGCACCCATGTATTATTCTCTATGCTATAAATGTTTGTGTACTATTAATTAAACTATTTGTTAGTAAGATTTTTTCTGTGTTGGTGTAATGTTTGTAATATATTTGTTAGTAATTTCAATTAATACGCGACTTTTTAAGAAAATCTTCTCTTAACAAATAAGTCGTACAGCAAGACCTTACTTGAAGATATTTCCGGCGCATGTTGAGATGCATCCCCGTTCTCATTGATATCCTGCGAACTCAGCGAATGCCGCGCATCATGAGAACGCGATCCCTCAAATGAAGTTGACGAATTTTGTAGGACGTGAATACGCATATCGCCTACATTTTCCCCATTCTCGTTGATAACCTGCGAACTCAGTGAATGCCGCTGTGTACCTCGTGCTGACGCTACAAAAATTAAAATATGTTACGTATTAAAACTTAGCCATTTTAAAACCCCAGACGATAACCTCAGTCAATCAGTAGTGTTGGTATATTTTAGTTAAACTCGTCCAAGCATACAAATTCTTCTGTTTTCTGTCAATTCTTATCTTTAGCACAATAATCTCGTGAAAGTTGAAACATACTACTGTTCTTACACAAAGTAAAAACCGCATGAGTACCAAGATATTACCAAAAAATAATGCTGGCGTGGTTAGCATGCAGGCTTATAAAGCAGACATTGACTGAATGTATTTTAATATATGGTTGGCAGCCTCTGGTTGGCATCCAACCAATCAGAAGAAAAAGAAATAAGATTTATTGATAAACGATGTTTCTTAGATGTGCATATAGTCTATCAAGATATGATGGTCTGGAATACCGGCAAACTTCAAAGCAACAACATAGAAGACATTTGTTTGATGTTGAACTGCACCTCATCGTACATATCTCAACTTCATTAAATATTATTCATTGTGGCAGCACGTTTCATCTCATGCAGCTATCAGGCCCTATTGGAGGTCACTTAATTATACGAAACTACAATGAGCTCAATCACTGTGAAAGTGAACAAATTAACATAAACTCAGACAAAAACATATATCAAACACTTCTGCTCAGTTTTGCGACCATCATATCTTGATTAGACTATGATGTGCACATCTTACATCTATTGTTATTATATTTACCAAGAAAGGTTTTCAGCAATCCTAGAGTAGTGAACATGGCAAAGTGACCTAATGCGCTAGTTGAGATTGTTTTAATATAAATTTGTTATCGTGCATGCAAAATATTAAAATGCGTAGGACCAAAACCAA